GGCTCAGGATCTTGCACAAAGACAGGCTTTAGTAACAGGGATGCTGAACCTTCACGTTCTGCTACCACAGCGCTGAAAGGGTGATCGGTTCTTGCAGAGTTTATAGGCCTCTTAATTGTAACAATTAGTGCTGCAAGGGCTCTGAAATGCATGGGGGATTAGAAACTGCTCCCCTTGCAGAATTTTCCAGATCTGTTACAAAAAAAACTGCTGTCTTGTATATCCTATGACCAGCAGAGAAATAAAAAACAAGAACACTTCGTGCATCTGTCAATGGAATAGCCTGAGTATGTACGTAGTAACATGCCAACTGCTGGGTCAGAGAAGAAACACCTAACCTCACGTAGGAAGGCTAGTGTTCTGCCACAGGGCGGTGTTACACGAGCAAGAAGCAATAGTGAAATGATTAGGGGACCAGAAACTGTGTTCTAGTGTCATTTCATATGATTTGTGGTTGTCACGGCGGTGAGCACGATAATATTTATCTTCTGGGTTGAAGCGATCGTTCTGATGATGGAGGCAGCAAGAACATCCGAAACGTAGGCAAACTTCTACCAGATAAAACGGCGCCACAACCCGTAGTGTCACTTCGCCCACCAGAAATATCACTCTAATTCCGCGGGATATAAGCCACGGCTCCGCGATAAGAGCCCAGGGCCTAGCCACCTGAGATATTGCAAGGCCGGATACCAGGATCACGTTGTAATTTATTACAGAAAGAGACTGAGAGAGCGAGGACGGGATTCGAGTCGCTCAAGGTAGCTTTGCTTTTTGTAACACAGATTGCTAATTCTGTGCGCCTTCTAGTCTACAGCTGTAGGTACAAAGTTTTTCTGATTCCTTTTTAAAACTTACGTGTAATACCGATAGCTTTCCACTTGTTAGTCAGAGAACATGTGACAAGGACCTAAGCGTAGAGCATTTGTTAAGGTTACAGCTGGAACACTCTGCATCAATTTTCAAAATTTTAATAGATACCAAAGGAAATGATAAATGATACTCGACGAAGCTCTTCTTGGGAAATTATCGAATATTTTCTTTAAGTGTTTCTGCAGTGTGCGGATAAATTGTGAACGTTGTGTAAATTTAATAGTTAGACAATTTTTCTAAGAAATGGCCGATACGGTTTCTTCATGCAAGGCAGTGCTACAGTTCACACAGCTGATCGGTCGATGTTAGCATTAAGAGAAGTGTTTGGTGAACAAGTTATCGATCAGTGGCCTCCGCGTTCCCCAGACTTGAACCCGTGCGATTTTTACCTGTGGGGCATGCTGAAGAACAAAGTTTATGAAAACAATCCGCACACTGCAGAAGGACTTAAAGAAAATATTCGACAATTGATTTCGGCAATATCCTAAGAAGAACTTCGTCGAGTATTTCGAAACATGTCAACGAGATGTGAAGCTTGCCTGCAAGCACAAGGAAGTCACTTTGAACATCTTTTGTGATTTAAGGCAAGAACAATTAATGTAATAACATGTATCAGTGACGAGAAACACTCGCAGCTCGCTGTCACTAGCGGCACCGAAACTGATTCGCCCGTGACTCAAGCGTACAAGTCCCGCCCACGTCAACAGATCGCCGGCCGACCACGCAATGCAAGCACGCCCCGAAAGTCATAAATTGTAGACCCGGTATTTAAATAATGCCCCGTCGCTTGCACTCCTCTTTCCGCCTATAATTTAGCTGACTGTCACTTTTATCGTGTAGTAGCAAGGCTTTTGAAGCAGTTTCATTTAAAAACAACCGCAAAGTACGTTGTGTCAGAAAACACGCTATCTCGCAGGCATTCTGAGGGCCTGGTTCATTGACTGTGCTGCTTTACGTGCCCATAATCACGAGTAAATAGCAGAAAAGAATTACCTGGTGCAATGTGGCACTAATCGTGTTCTATAAAAGGATCGGCTGTAATAACTATTCTATGCAACCGACTTTGAAAAAGCAAGTAAACTTACACTTTCTTTCGCTATCTACCAGCAGACTTTCTGCTTTAAAGGCTGCCTCATGTAAAGTAATGACATGGACTTCATGGAGCAGAATTCTTCTTGCGAAGATAATTGGATCTCGGTCAAGAAATTCCTAGTCTTTTATGGAACCCGATTGTTCATTCCCGTAATAAATAATTACGTTAAAATGTCAATAAACGCACTTCTTCCGTCGCGGCAGCCGAATAAAACTTCAATAAAACCTCCATCCGTGAAAGCGCCAACAAACCAGGGCTAGAAAACGCAGAAATAGGCGACAACAGCGACAGTGTGATGATCTCGGACGTTTTAATCATTACATTTTTTGGGTTAATATAGTACATCGTCATTGCGATGGCGAAGTAAAGTCCCAGTTTGTTCACAGAAACCAAGTAGGTCCTCAGCGACACCTTCGTAAACTTTCTGCAGATTTTTATAACAAGAATCCACGTACCGGGTGACGCAAAAATACCTTAAAACAGTCGTAAAATAAACGGGTCTGAATAAAACTCGTATAAGTTATGTGTAACATAACAACGTTTGTGTACAACAAGACTATTCAGTCCGGAGTTTCGATACAATTAGTTAAGCCGGCCATTTTTAGTACTGTTCTTAAAAAAGCACTTTTGCGCCACCTGGTATATAATACGCCCTATATATTACAGACATACGGATACTAAATAACGAGTAAGGCTATATGATTGATGTTAAACGAATAAGTAGCCTACTAACGTAAAAATAACTGCAGTGACAAATAAAAAAACTGAATGAAATAAGGGAGACTGGATACAGAACAAATAAAGTACTGGAAATACAAAAGGAAACTGTGGGTGAGTAGGTTCAAGTGAAAATGAGGACTAAATATGAACGGGCGGAAATTTACAAAAGAAAGATAATGGAGTAGAACAAAGAATTACGCATTTGCAAAAGCGGGGCACAGGAAGGAAGAAGAGCACGGGGTTGCGTGAGAGAATTTAGTGGGATGATGGTTGCCATAGTAACCGTTGTTACGGAAAATGGAACGTACTCCGAACTCTCCTTGTCTGGCATCCCCTATTGATTTTCTGAAGGCTGATCTATCTGTTCTCGAAAATGATTTCGTGTTTATATTTTAAAATTACTTCACGTGATTCCACATTATTTCGAAATGCAGCCATTATAACCGGGTATAAGATAAATTATTCTTTAAAATAACAGTTATTCAATTTTCTTTGCGTTCACTTCTAGGATTACTCGTGCATGTCGTTTCTTCACGCAAGCCTACGAGTAAATCTACCTCCTCAGCTTGACAATCCAAAACACTGTGTTGCACCCAACAAGTTAATTCATTATTCTTTTATTTAACAGAGTTTTCAGTCATTCCGATTATACCGAATCAAATGACGGGATAGGTAAATAACGATTGGCCTATATCACTCCTCTTGTGAGTGAACTTTTCGGTCCGCATCCTAAACCAGATAAATGGTTCCATTTCCTAAATATCCATTATTATTTTACCATCAACGCCAAGCTGTTTCTTCCTTACAGGCTTTCTAACCCAAATGTTGCATTCACTTATCACCTTTCCCATGCATGCTGCATGCTCCACCAATTTTTATTCTCCTTTCAATTCATTGCCCTAGTAATGCTCAAAAAAACGTACAAATTACAAAGTTTCTCATCATGAATCATTCTCCATCCTCTTATTACTCTGCCCTCTTAAGTCAAAATAT